AAGGAAAGAGCTGGGAAGGGGGTGGGAGATGGGGCAGGCATCAGGTTGGAGACCGGCACCATTCATGAAAGGAAAAGAAGGGAAGAGGGGGGAAAAAAAAAAAAAAGCCTTGTCTGGTGTGATCAAAGCATTGCTCTGCTTTTGGACTCGGGGTTGTCTCTTTACTGGTTTATCCTATAGAACAACACTGCTTGCAATGGTACAGAATAATCCTGTTGGGATGCTGCACTTGTGCTCTGATTCTCCTCATATCCACTCCCCCAAACTTCTTTGCCTGGAGCTGTGCTCTCCTCCCTCAGTTAGGAAAATGCAGGTGTCGGCGCCAGGGGAAGAGCCTGTTCCCAGCCTGGGTGTGCACGTGCACACGCGTGCGTGCTCTCGCACACGTATGGGGTACCAAGCACGCTGCTGGGGGTTGGTACCCCAAACCATGAGGGGATGCAGCACATGAATATTCCTGCACCGAGCTTCTGCCAGCACCTGTTCAAGGACATCCCCCCCTCTCTCCATCTCTGGATCTCCAAGACCAAGAAGACCAGCTAAGACATGCAGAATTTGGGTTGTGTGAGGTGCGCTAAATACCAGAGGGCAAAGCATCCTCGCCTCTGCCATGGGAGAGCTTAGAGGAATTGCAAAAAGGGCACCAGACAGTTTCTGGGACGGTCATCCCAAAATCCAGGCAGCATCACAACAAGCAACGACCTGGGCTCCTCGTCCCCATGCTCACATTGCAACCCCACAGCAAAGAGGAAAGCAGCCTCCTAGAAACCACTCTCTCCTGCTTCACCCTGGCCACAGCTGAAAATCAGGGCATGGGGTGTGCACAGGATTTCATCAGGGAGTCAGAGGGACAGGCCAGGCTCACGACTGCCGCTTGCCTTTGCAGGGAGAGGACTTTGGTTTTCGGGCCAGTCATCCAGGCTTGGAGAGCTGGGTTTTCCTCTGCTGGCACGGGCTAGTGCCCCTCTGGACCAGCTCCGGGTTTGCTAAAGGCACAGCAGGCACCACCGGCGATCATTCATTCCTGCCTTCCCTTGGCCATGCTCCACCCCACAAAATCCCTTAATGAAAACCACAGTGCCCAAGGGCTCCACAAAAGGCATCCAGGTGTAGCAGCTGTTATTAAACCCTCCGAATAACCCAGACGCCAGCTCTTCCTTTTAGTGACCCCAGTGTATTTATCCTGGTTTCACAGCGGCTGCTTCCCCGGCTGCTGAGCAGCACAACTTCACAAGGGCCTTTTGATTTCCATTTGGATTTTTTCCCGTTGTTAGAAGTGTTCCCCCACCCCTTCATCTCTCACATAACGTGTTATTGTATTACCGCTGCAACTGCTATAAAAAAAAAAAGCCAGCGCGGTGCTATGATGCTCAGGCATTGGAGTGTGTGAAGCACACACCCACCTGGATATTTTCAGAAGGATTTTAACCCTTGTTTTTCCATGAGCTCCTTCAAATACGGTGTAGGACAAGGCGGGCTGGTGTAGGCTCCTCGTTCTCTATTCATTACACTAAGGGCACCCGGGGAACACGGAGCTGATGCTCCAGTTGCTGATGGCTGAAGGTCCTTCAACCTCTCCCTCTTGGGACCACCGATTAAGAGATCGCCAAGGTCCCATTGCCCCTTCTGACCATTTCTGAGCAGTTTTCCCCTTTTTGGTCTGGGACACACTGCATTGAGCAGGTCACAAGCCCAGCTTCAGCACCCGGCCAGGTCTGGTTCATGCATGGGCAGGGTGAGCAGTCCAAAGCCCCAGGGGAAATACAGACTTTCCCCTCCCCAGCTCTGCCTCAGAACGAGCGAAGGTATTATTTTATGCACATTTTCAGAGAAAAATATTTTTAGCTGGGGGAGAACAGTCTGTTTTTTTCAGGCAGCGATGATGATTTGGAAACCACAGGTTATAAAGAGAGCGGGTTTACAAATGTGACTATTAGTTCCCCAGTGGAAGCTTTAGCATCAGGGAGTTTTAGGTGGGCGTTGATTTCCACCAAGATGAAAAAAATATGGATTTATTGACACAAGAAGCAAACACCAGTTGAACCCCAGTCAGTGCCACCCATTCCTGCACAGGATCCCAGGAGGCCTCTCCCAGCAATAGCCCCTCGCCAGGGAGAGCATGCCTGGGGTGTCCCACTGCTCATGGAAACTCCAGCGTGGTGTCTGGGGCCATGATGCCACCCGCATTAAGCACCTCTCCCGTCAGATATGTGGGAAAAAATAAGTCCAGAAAGGAAGAGTAATGCCCTGCATCACCCTTGGATGGACAAAGGCCAGCGAGCATGATGTTGGGTCCCTCTGGGCCCACCAGGGATGGATCCTGGGGTGGATCCTGCTCACGTGGACATCCTCTCTGGTCCATCACCACACATCCCAAAACGGTCAGCACATCCTGAGGCGAGCGCTACCCTACCCCTCTGATGCTCACAACACCCCCTCCACCACAGCCACTGCCTCTTGCTAAGTCGCGACACAATCACAACAATGATCAATTCTCCCAAGCTCAATAGACTCTGTCCAGACACTCACATATTAATCAAGAGTAAAGTTTTAGCCCACAAAGATGATCCTGAACCCGCCGGTCACCCGCGCACATCCCCTATGCAGACTTTACCACCCGCCTTATGCAACCAACACAGCGTGAACCGCTAAGCGCAAACCCTCTCCCACAAGCTGTTTGCAAGTCATTTGCCAGCCGAGGATTATTTGCTGAAGAAATTTGCCAATAATTCAGCAGATCAAACAGGCAAGAGTTTCTTGCAAGAGAGGCGCAACCATGGCGCTGAAGAGCAGCAGCTTTGCCAGCACCGCACGGCAAAAGCGAGAGCTGAACAGCTCAGAGGAGCCCATGACCTGGTCCAGCTGACCCCCCAGTGACCCGAACCTCCCCAAAAGTGGTCCAGGATGAAAATCTGCAGATTGTTTCCCCTGTGCCCATCATACAACAGAATTCACCCTGAAAGCCTGGTGAGCCCATGTCATGCTCGGGCAAAGCCAGTGGGTAATCGGGCATTTCTTGGAGAGGCTTTTGTCCCACTGGAGCAAGCATCAGGCTGCGAGGGGGGTGATGGTGGTGAAGTGGACCCCGGAGGGGGTAACCAGTGATGTCAGGGGACCTGGGCACCTCCCAGCAGGGCAGCCGGCGCGGCGCTAGCAGCCCTTCATGGACAACTGATTCCCTGGCACGGGGCCCGGCGCGGCGGGGCACCGAAAGGAGCTGGCGAGGCTTTCGCGAGTGAGTAATTGCCGAGCGCTGACTCAGCACTGGCTCGGTTACAGTCAGCTCTCCCGGAGCGGCAGGGAGGGCAGGGAGAGGTCCACGGCAAAACCCCCCTCCCAGCCCAGTGCTTCCTTTTGGCCTCGGCCCCAAAGGATGCCCGGGCCAGAAGACGGCCGATGGGCATTTCCCAGCCACCCGGCAGCTTTCCACGCACTCAGCCCAGCACCGCAGCTGCACAGCGAGGCCGAGACATCCCCTCTTGCTGCTACCAGGGGTGACACGTGTCCCACACTGTCCCCAGAGATGCCACCAGGGATGTGACCACCTTTGCCCAGCCCAGGAGCTGCGCCCAAGCTGCTCTCCCTGCAGCAGCAAGCCTGCTTGGCCATGGAGCCCTCCCTGGAGAGTCACTTTGCAGATGCAGAAGAGCCAGCAGCATCCTGTGCGATGGCTGCACCACCTGCAGGCAGCCTGCTTGCTGCCCACCAAGAAGCATCACCCCACCACCAGCACACCCAGACACCCCACCTTCATGGGCAGAGGTGGTCCCACTCCCCAGCAAGGCCATCCAGGTCTGTGTTAGACCAAGGGAGCCAAAATATTCCTGGGCACGTTTTCCTCAGCCCTTCTCTTGAGCACAGTCCCAACCTGCACCTCTCCACCACAGAGAAGCAACGCCCATTGCCACATCCCTGGAAGCACCAGGCTCAGCATCCACTTTCCTCCTCCAAACACTCAAATGGGTGTCATGTCCCACATGGTGCCACCACCCAGGAGAAGGCTACAAGCCAAGAGACAGGACTGTACAGCAAGCAACTCAGGAGAGACCCCAGGTATCTCACGTGGCTCCCACGCCACAGTTTCCCAGCCAGCCCTTGCAGCTCTGGGTGGAGAGCACCCAGAATTGCTCATGAAGTGCTCAGAGATCCACAGACACCATCTGTTAGTACACATCAAACCGGCTCCTCTGAACGTGCATCAGCATGCAAAACGCAAGGCACCCCTTCCCTGGGACCCCCTTGGTGGCCGCAGGCACCCCCCTGCCCTCCACACTGTGAGGGGACAGGGGGGGGTCCCCCGGGAGCTTCTGCTCAAGCCAGTTGCCAGTGTTGGCTAACACAAGTCCAAATGCCCCTACTCGTTTCTATGTCACCAGCACCACCCATCACACCACAAGCAGGACTCAAATCTAGGCCACATTCCTGGCAGGTGACACCACCAGTGACACAACCGGCACCCACGAAGCTCTGTGCACTACCACCCCCAGCATCACTGCTGCACGCTGGGATGCTGAACAAGCATCACCTGGAAACGCAGCCCCACCCAGACCTTGTTCCTAAACCCCCAGCACCGGGCTGAGGCTGGAAAGCGCTTGAGAAGGCAAGAGGAGAAGAGATTTCCTTCCTCCCCTTGGGGCCTTTAACCAAAACCTCTCCCAAACCATGTCCAGTTGCTCATCAGACTGTACTCCCACTCCATCCCCACCTCACCCCATGCCCAGATGGGTGACAGACGCCAGGCCACCAGCTGAGGAAAGCTCAGAGCCAGCCCTTCTCACCTGATGGGGAACCACATCCCTCCATCAGCTGCCCACTGCAAAGCCAACGCAGGAGCCTCCAGCACTGGAGACCATCCTCCCCTTCCTTGTTGGGATGAAGAGCCAACAACAATAACAGCAAACCAGGGCCTTGCCCACACCCTGGAGCTCGTGTCCCCACCAGGACAAGCCCCCATGCCCAACTGCCCAACTCCATCAACTGCCCTGCACCGCCTGACTCACCCGCTGAGGACCACGATGAAATCCATGACGTTCCAGCCGTTGCGCAGGTATGAGCCCTTGTGGAAAACAAACCCCAGAGCCACGATCTTAATCCCAGCCTCAAAGCAGAAAATCCCAATGAAGTAGGGCTCCGTCTTCTCCTGCCGGATGGGAACCAGTGACACAGTCAGAGGGGAAGATGGAGCAAACACAGTGCCAGCCATTTCACAATGACCCAACTCACATCCCATCCCACCTTCCCCAGCTCCATCCTCCCCTTTGGGAGTTCTCCCAGCCCTTCCTCAGCCAGCATCAACCCTGGAAACAAAAAGTGGGGGCTATGACCCACTCAGGTTGCTCAGTCACCCTTTCCTACCCCACTTTTTAAGGGGCTTAAACCTTCCTGAACCCTTTCCATAGAGGAGGAACATGTGACAGCCAGGAAGGCTGGAGGGGCTGGTCCTGGAGGAAACCTCCTGTCCTACCACCCTGAAAACAGCAAAATTTGGCTGGTAGGATGGGGTGGCTCCCTTCAGCTGGTCCCCCCACTCCCACGGGGTGCAGAGGGATGGATGCGGGGTACTTACTAATCTCCGTGACATGGGCGTCTTGTCGTCCTCAGGGAGGTGCTGCTCAAGGGCCAGCACAATGCAGTTGGCAATGATGGTCGCCAGGATCATGTACTCAAAGGGAGTGGAGGGGAGTTAAGGAGCAGAGGAGAGGTGGTTGACATCCCCGACCCACCAGCCCTCTCCTGCCCACCCCTCGTTTCCCCTGCTCATTAGCAGTCACCACCACTTTCCCCACGGGAACATGCACACATGCAGCCCAGCTTTCACCTCCCGCTGCTCCTGGGCAGGAGGGAGAAGCCCACCTTGGTGCTGTTTGGAAACAAGAGGAGTGATGAGAACTGAGAGCCCCCAGGACCTTCCTCACTGCAGACCTGCTGAGCATCATCACCTCCTTCCCAAGGTAATGGGACATTTAACCAATGGCCTCTGCTGGGCCGTGAACTGGGAGAGAGATGCTGCTTGTGGTGAGAGCCCAGAAGATGGACACAAGTATGAAGGTGGACAACTGGGCTCTGACCAGATTGGGCTTCATCTGGAAAAGAGCTTGACATGGTCCCTGGCAGCATCAGGGAGGCTCTCCCTGGCATGGCATGCTAGTGGCCAGGGCTGCCACATCGCTGCACACCATGGCCCTGCTGCTTGCCTTCTCTCTTCCATCACAAAGGAGCAGGAGATGGGGCTTGGAAGGGGGTGTCACAGCCCATCAGCAGCCCTGGTCCTAAAGCATCCCTGTAGAAGGGCCTATCTGCACAGCTCGAGGAGGACAGGGCATCCCTGGTGGGTCCTGGGGACCCAACCCTGACCAGCCCACCCTGTGCCCTGCGTTGGCAAGGTGGACGTGCCCTGGGAACCAAAGGCCCCTTGCCAAGCACCCCGCAGGTGGCAGGGTGAGCCCAGGCAGCACGGGGAGCTGCAGAGCACCAGGCTGAGCATTTGCAACTCAAGACGCCAATGACACCTGGGTCCAAGCTCCAGTTCAGGCAGGGTTGAAACTCCCCACGGAGACACCCCAGCTTGGCTACACTTCAGCAAGACCCCAAGGGGTAGCAGCAACTTATCGACAGGACCTGGTTGGACCCTTATGAGCGTCCTAAATCCTACAGCCACGTCTAGGGCTTACACACCTCCAGGAGCAACCCAGTGCCAGGACAAGTGGCAGCAGATGCTGGCATCTGAGCACCTGAGGGAGTGGTGAGGGAAGGCAGAGGAAAGGGCAGGCTGACACCCGGGAAAGCACCCCAAACTCAGCTCCCTCCTGCCTTTTGATTCACAGGAGCCACCGGGAGCGAGGCGGGGGTGTGGAGCTCCGTCCTGCCTGGCCCACTGCCAAGCCCTGAAAACAAAGCACTTCGAAGTGACAGGACAGCCAACATCTTTCCAACTTCCCATCCATCTTTACCACATCTTTGCAATAAAAGTCCTGTTGTCCTCAATAACAAAATGAGGTGAGATTCATCAGCAGGCAGCACACACCTTCACCACTCCCTCCATGCCAAAAATCCACAGCTATATTGCTGTAACCGCTGTCACCGGCGGCCACCCCGGGAGGGGACTGCCACCTTCCCAAGGCTCGTGTCTACAGAAAGGGGATGTGATCCCGCCTGGGATGGATTTAGTCACAAAGAAATCATCCACGCTCCCGCTGTACCAAGCCGGCACGGGGAGCAGTGCCCTGGCTGAGCCCTTCCCCACTGCACCAGGCTTCTCCAGACCCGGCAGCTTCAGGTTCACACCACTCAGGCTAGGAGGTGCCAAACACTGGTGCCTGGGAAAAGGGATGATTTTCCCATTTGCCACCTTGCCTTTTGGCTGCTGAAGCTACTGACTACAGCAAGGTGCTTTAAGCCAGCGGCCCCGAGCCCACAGGCAAGAGAAGACATCCCAGTACTGGCCACGAGCATGGGGAACTGGAAACCATGAAATGACCCTGGCGGCAGCAACCCCGACAGCAGCGACCCCCCGCACGCTGCGGCTCACGGGTGAGGTGGGAGCAGGGCCGGGCATGGGAGCAGGTCCCCGGAGAGCTGGCCAGGAGGGGCAGCCAAGGAGAGCCTGCAGGAGCTGGGATGTTTTTAGCCCGGTAGGGAAAAGAGCCAGGAAGGATTCAGCCAAGGCATTTAAAAGGCCACTCAGTGAAATTAATGGTTGCTAAGTTAAAGGCAAACCAAAAGAGGAGATGGCTGCAGAGCTCACTGCTGTGGGCTCGGGCCTCGGTGCCAGCCAGGCACAAATCGCAAGCAGCTCCCTGTGCTCGGGGGGAGGCCAGACCCCAAAAGTTTTATTCCAAGGCTTACTACAAGTGAAGATTTCATTGCACAGCTCCTGCAAAAGCCACATACCTTCCTCCCTGCTTCCCACCTCCGGCTGCACACTTCAGCTGGTACGCAGACCGTGGTGCTTGGCCCGGAGCCACCGGCCTATTTGGGGTCTTTTTGTTTCATTTTCCTGAAAGTCTGCAAGCAATTAGCACAGGCTTAAAAGAAAAGAGCGTGTTAGTGGGGCGGTGCAGCCAGCTCCCCAGGCGCTAGGCACATTTGCCTAGATGAGAAGTGTGGGAACGGCGCGGCGAGTCCGTCTGTCTGCCCCAGTGCGTCTAACCCCGCCGGGCATCCCA